CGCACCGTGCCCTCGAAGTGGTACGGCACCGTGAACCGGTACCCGTTCTCCGAGCACTCGGCCAGCATCTCGAACGTCTCTGCACGTATTACAGTCATGATGCAGCGTTGTTAGACAATTGTAAAGAGAAAACATTGTCTGTAATGAGTGCTTACCGAACTGCATGGTGCGCATGAGGTTGATGTAGCGAGCCTCGCGCGACACCCCGCCTAGCGGCCGCGGCACCCCGCCCGCCTCCGCCTCGCCCTCCGACCGACACATCAGCGCAGACGTCGCCTGAACCACCACGAACAACATTAGTTAACAAATACCGTAACATAAATTAAAAAAATCATCTTCACTATTTAGGTGTAATTTCTAACTTATTAAAAAAGTGGTTTACAAGATTATTATGAAGTATAAATTTATTTGCTAGTGAACTTGCCTGTATGTCGGCAATGAGTGCGGCGAGGCCCTCGTCCTCCTCCGACAGCTCGCAGTTGCTTGCCGTGTTAAATCTTTGGCTGTACGTCATTTTACCGAATATATTCTTTTTGCTCATTCTGTATGGGAAATAGATAAGTGTTAGAATTATGTAGGAAGTGTCAATTGATATGTAAACCTAGAAGTAATAAGGATGAGTGTTAGGCGATATACCTGAGTTTGCTGGCGTAGGAGTTGGTGGTGCGGCTCATGAGCGCCAGCAGCTGCGGCACGGCCCGCCAGCCGCCGGCAGCGCAGGGCGTGCAGCGCGCGCGCGCACCGCAGCACGCACACGTACAGTGGGATGTGCCGCGACATGTCCAGCACTGACAGACAAAACCAAACTAACATAAATAAAAATCAACTTACAAACGCGCAAAAACATTGGCCTCTTCTCAGTCGAATAAAAACTTATCAAAACATGTAAACGGACATGGTTAAGTGGCGTTAGCTTAAGTTACCTGAGTCGTTCCTGAGGTAGGAGCAGATGGCGGGCAACAGGGAGCTGTTGGCGATGAGGTCGACGAACTCGTGCGGCAGGTGGTGGTCGCGCTCCTCGCCCTCCGGAGCGGGCTGCGGCGCGCCCTCCTCCGGCGGCCACCGCTCCCCAGGGTTCATGTACGCCGACAGCACCTGCACATTCCCACCGGTTACCGAAGAACGTGTTTAATTTGTGGTGTCGTCTGCGATAACTACCGCATAGAGCTGACCTCGAGCAAAACAGTGACATGCTCCTCCTCGACGCGCTGTCGCACCAGCGCCTGCTCCACGTTCCACGACTGCTGCGTGGAGCCGGTGCCGAAGCCCGTGCCTTTCGCCCAGTACAGCTGACTCTTCTCCTCCGGCTTGCCAGACCCATTTGATGCCTGGCTATTCTGAAACAATATTACATTACACATTTTACAATGAATCTACTATTCAACACAACACTATCACATTTCAGTTTTTGTAGTAGTAAATTTAGTAAAATCCATAATATAATACTATTATGGATTTTACTTAATTTACTATGTTTTGCGTTATTTAAATATCTTGGTGACCATTAACTTTATGCGAATCGCAGAGCACAATACAATTCTTTGTGTAGCGAAATGCGGGGGAGGGCACTGCTCAACGCTGTGATGAAAATCGACCACCAAAACATTTGAAAAGAGTAATACTTACATCATTGGAGGCGGGTTTGTGGTGTGTGAAGACGGCGAGGCAGGCGAGCAGCAGGCGCACGAGGCCGAGG